GTCAACAGTAAGATGTCAAAGATAATGTAATAAAAAGTTGTATTTTCCTTTAATGCACGTTTTATGGCGTGGAATAGAAAAACATAAATGTTGTGTTTAACAATATTTTATCGGGTGCGGACGTGAATTACCATCGATTTCTTTTAAAACCAAGCATTTTGTTGGGTAATCAGAAAAATAAAAATAACTAAGAAAAGATAAATTTATTTAAAAATAGATTTGTCGGTTATTGAGAAGGGTGCCAATGAAGCCATTTGTTAAAGTGGAAGACGGCACATAGAAATTTTGGACTTTTTTAATAGGTGAATGTGTTTTTTATTGCCTTAACTATATTGTCTTTTATTAATTACAGTTACTTAAATTAATTACAAGTTTATCTATTAATTATTTGGCCATAATCTATGATTCAATATTTTGCCATTTTCATTTATCGTTCTCTAAAGAATTGATTATATCCATATTTTTGGTGAACTATTGATTACATGGCCATGAAATCGCTTATTTATGAGAGTTGGCAGAATCACAATCGCCATGAAAATGACGTGACATTTCTTCTTCTTCTTCGGATGCAAATCCACTAATGGATATTAGCGATCACATTTTCCATTAATTATCTATTTCTTGCAATATGTATCAGAGATTGTATGTTGTTAATCCCTGTCCATTGCCTTATGTTTCGGAGCCAGGACATTTTCTTGCGTCCCATTCCTCTCTTGCCTTCAATTTTACCCTCGATTATAAGTTGGAGGAACCGGTATTTTTCATTTCGCATGATGTGACCTAGATACGCCATTTTCCTTTTCTTGATGGTTTCGAAAAGTTGGCGTTCTTGGTTTATTCTTTTAAGGACATCTATATTTGTGATTTTCACTGTCCATGGTATTTTTAGGATACGGTGATAAAGCCACATTTCGAAAGCTTCTAATCTGTTTATATCCCTCGTTTTGAGTGTCCAGCCCTCTACGCCATATAGCAGCACTGACCATACGTAGCACTTAGTAAACCTTAGTCTCAGTTAAAGATCGAACTCTGAACAAGTCAGTACCTTCTTGAATTTTACGAAAGCTTGTCGAGCTTGCTCAATGCGACATTTTACTTCCCTGTCCGATGCCCAGTCTTCAAAAAGCCACGATCCCAGGTATTTAAATTTACTCACTCTTTCAATGGACTTAGTATTCAGTGTTATGGTGGAGTTTTCAAGTGCATCCAAGTTTCTGGAGATGATCATGAATTTGGTCTTTTTGGTATTAATCTCTAATCCCATTCGTTTACTGTATTCTCCGATTATAGTGACAAGTTGTTGAAGATCGACTATGTTGTCACAAATTAAGACACCATCATCAGCATATCGTATGTTGTTGATCAATACTCCATTCACCTTGATTCTCATCTCTGCATCCTCCAAAAACTCTTGAAATATAGCTTCCGAATAAATGTTAAATAAAAGAGGGGAAAGCACACATCTCTGTCGAACGCCTCTTCTTATATGTATGGGTTTGGATATAGAATTGTCTATTTTTAACTGCGCCGTTTGATGCCAGTACAAGTTTTCAATGCATCTTATGTCTTTTTGGTCTATATCAACTTTCTTGAGAACGTGACATTTATGGCCTGACATTGTCAATGTAATATTTGACTATTTTTAACAATATTTTTGAGAAAATTAAGCTTTTAAGGGTCCCTTTTACCGCTAAAACTTAGATGAGAAGAATAGTACACACGTCTTGTTTGTCTTTGGACTTCAGTTTGTATACATCTATACAAGCCTTCTTCTTCTTCTTCTTTATGTCATCATAGCTATTTTAATTTTTGAGGCAGTAGCTCTAAATAGTTGTTTTGAGCTGCATCTAAACCATTCTCTCAGGTTCTTAAGCCATGAAATTCGTCTTCTTCCGATGCTTCTTCTGCCATCTATCTTTGCTTGCATTATGAGTCGCAGGATGCCATACTTCTCGCCGCACATCACATGTCCGAGATACTGTAGCTTTCTTTCTTTAATTGTCATCCTTCACCGTTGTTCGGTGTCGTAACTCTATCTACCCAGGAAACCTTCATAATTCTTCTATAGGTTCACATTAGAAACGCTTTAAGTCGTCTTATTGTGTCTAGATTTAACGTCCATGATTCCACTCCATAGTATAGTACACTATATACGTAACATTTTGTTAGGCGTACTTTAAGAGCTAATGTTAAATCTTTGCCAGGACCCTTTGCATTTTCTTAAAATTAGAACGTGTTTTTTCGATTCTGACTTTGATTTCTGCAGTGTAGTCATTATTTTCTGTTATAAGTGTTCCTAGGTAAGTGTACTTTTTTACTCTTTCGATCTGCTGGTCCTCTACTATCAAGATTTCGTTGGTATTATGGTTTTTTTTTACAAATTTTTTACAATTTCAACGTGCTAACACAGAGATGTTTGGATGTTAACCGTCCTCTTTACGGCTGTTTTATAGACTACAATAAAGCGTTTGATAAAGTAAAACATGACCGACTCATGGAAATTCTAAAAAATAAATACCTAGATGAAAAAGATTTAAGGCTAATAACAAACCTTAATTACAATCAGCGAGCAATAGTACGAATTGAAAAAGATGATTTTATTATTTCATCATATTTGGTAACGGCACATCCAACACTTACTTCGCTTTTGGAGGCATCTGTACACAGAATTTTTTGAAATTGGTTTTTGCTTATAATTTCTTCGAAATGTTGCCTTATGAGAAGACTTGAGGTTTCATGTTTACTGTATTTTAATAGAGAAGTGATTGAATGTGGGATTGGTCCATTCCAAGGCGGACTATCCGAGATTGGGAAGGGATGTGTTTTAGTAAGGTCGATGGTTTTTCTTAGAGCTAATTTTTGAATGTCTATTATTGATTGAATCCTTTGCGGGGTCTACGGAGGCAATGTTGAAGTAATTAAACGGTAGACTGGATTGGATGGAGTTGCAGATACGGAAGCAAAGTAAAATTGAAGAAGATACTCTCGTCGAATCCAAAGAGGTGGTTCATTAGCCTCGCAGGAAAGACTGTCTATAGGACTAGATTTGAAAGCGCTTAAGCAAAGACGAATAGAAGTGTTATGCATAGAGTTCAGTAGCTTTAAGTCAGATTTTGATGCAGACGTGTATATGAAACTGCCCTAGTCCAGTTTTGAGCGGACTAAAGCTCTATATACAGTGGTTGATCAAATTATTATGATCACTTCAAAAAATTTTGCATTTTGCTGTTTAATAAAGAATAAAACTGCATATAAGCGTCTAATGATGTGAATATAATATAAAAACAGATTATAAACACATTCTTTTACAAAATTTTAAAATATTTTTTTCTTTGACCTTAAATAACAATTATTTTTAATATTTTGTGTGGCCTCCTTTAGCTTCGATGACAGCTTTGATCCTCTTTGGCATACTTTGAATGTTTTTCAGGCAGTCTTCTTTTATTTTATCGTTTCTGTGCCAGGTGGCAATGAGTCCCTCAACTAACTGCTGCTTATTTGTGACAGTTTCCTGGGCAATCCACATCTTCATAAGCTCCCATAGATTTTCGATCAGATTGAGGACTGGGGAATTATCTGGCCACTTCAGTACTTTAATTTTCTTTTTTTTTTCCAGATACGAGTTTTTGCCTCATGGCACGGTGCTGAATTGCGTATAAAGGTAAAATCCTCCGATTCGCCAAACCAGTCTTTGATTTGTGGCATGAGCTTTCTTTCCACAACTTCAATATACTGATGTTGATTCATCATTCCATTCACAATGTACAGCCTCCCTGTGCCCTTATTGCTGATCACAGACCATACCATAATCTTGAGAGGATACTTTACTCGCTCCACTATGCAATCCTTGTGATATTTTTCACCCACTCGTCTTTGGACGAAGGCCGACTTATCTATGATAATCTCCACTGTAGACTCATCGGAGAAACAAACCTATGAATAAAAAAAAATATGAGATTTTTTTTAGGATAAAAACAGTGGTTATAGGGATTTAAACTTTAGTAGTGACATAATTTACCTTATTCTAAGTCTTTTGGCCCATTCCAGTCTCTTTTCATCATTGCGATGATTTGAAACCTTGCTCAGCAAGCCTTCTGCGGACTGTCATGTCAGAAATCAGAATCCCAGCTTCACGAATAAGTCCCGTGAGGATTTTTCTTGGCTTCTTTCTGGTTTAAGAAAATATCCCTCATTTTTCTTTCGTCTCTGGGTGTATCAGGGGTTTGTTGGTATCAGTTTTTTTCTTGGTATCGCTCACTGTTGCTTGCGCTACTTGGCATTGTTGAGCTATCTGACGTTGGGAAAGCTTTGTATTCAATAAAAGTGTCTTTATCTCCACCATTTTGGACACAGGGATGTCTTTAGACTTACCCATTATGATTTTTTTCTCAAAAATCTAAATGTTTTGAAAATGCCTTTAAAATTAAAACTGATAGTTTTTTTCATTCACAATCACCAATAAATAAAAAAATTAGTAATAAAACATACTACAAAGATAAAACGATACTAATCTTTCAAAAACAATACAAAAACATAAAAATTCAGTTGTAAAATCCAAGCTCAAATTCACCGCAATGTGTATGTTGTCACGTAATTTGACACAATTGACAGTTGTAGAGCTGTAAATGTCAAAAAAGTAAGGTTATTAGTGACAAAATATATTGGCATGCCTTAATCGTATAGCAGCATATGATTTTATTATAAAATTTTTAAACAAATTTTAAAAACTTAAATTTTTGTGACTGATCATAATAATTTGATCACCCACTGTACATATATTAAGTAAGATGGTTTAGTCCGCACCCCATGTGTACTTTGATACTGCCTTGATAATATTGATTCTCTTCATTGCATTGCCCTTTAATACACTAGTATGCTGTTTCCAAGTTAGCCTAGTTAGCCTACTGTCAAATATAAATATAAATATATTTTTAATTAAAATACAACAAAATATAAATAAAACAAGATATAAATTAAAATAAAATAAAATCTCATTTCAGGTTCAAACATGCAACCATCAACAATCGTCGTTTTTTTCTTCGCTACAGTCCTTGGTGTTTTGTCGGTGACGAGAGCTTCCATTATAAGTTGTCCACCAAATCCTATCCAAGAACAGCTAAACCCAGCTGTAAGACAACTCTGCGTCGCTATTGAACAGGCCGTTGAAGAGGTTCCGAAAGAATGTATGTATACGTTTTTTATTTAATGTATGATTAAAAATTGTTTGAGTCATATAAAACTTTACATTTTTATATTAAGAATTTTTTTTATTGCAATTACCGTGTCTCGACATGTATGGCAATTGACACGGGTACAAAAACATCTGGAATATTACATTATACATATAAGATGATTACATTACATAAGATAAATCAGTATTTTTTTTTTGAACGAACAATGTTACAATATTGTTATATACGATAATTATAATCTACAATCTTTTAAAAAGTCAATTAGAGCACTATACATATTTGGCGATTTAAGTATCTGTTTCAGGTTACCGTTTATATTATGAGCTAATCTATATAGTCTATAACTACACTCGACGAGTAAGTGTTCTACTGTAAGGCGCTAATAATCACAATTTTCACAAGCATGTGGGTTTTCGGAAGTCATCAGGTATCCGTGAGTGATGCGTGTGTGTCCTATTCGAAGTCTTCGAATTATAAGTTTGTCCCTCCTAGTCATTGTAGGCATCTTAAATGAGTAAACAGTAGGATTGATTATAAGAAGTTTTGAGTTTTGTCCATTCCAATGATTTTGCCATGTTTTGCAAGTGTTTTGTTTTATGGTTGCTGCTACATATTGATGAAGTTGAATTTTTTCTAGGCTTAGGTCAGAGCAACTTGCTTTTCTTGCTGCGATGTCTGCAGACTCATTTCCACGTATGCCCACATGAGATGGGGTCCAAAGAATGATTATTGATGTTCCCCTGCTGTGGTTTTGATGACAGATATGTTGAATTTTTTGGACTATCGGATTTAACGAGTATATGTTGGCAATGGACTAAATTGAAGAAACAGAATCAGTGCATATAGCTAGAGATTTTGTATTAGGATAAGTCATTTCAAGAGCTTTAAGGATACCATATAATTCTGCAGTGTGAATACTACAAGTGGTTGGTAGTTGGTGTAAAGCTAAGGTTATGTTTTCAGTACAGACCGCACAGCCAGTATTCTTTTCATCTTTATATCGGTATAGAGAACTTGATTGTACTGTTTTACATTTATTGCTTCTTGAAATAATTGTCTAAGGAGGTGGTTAGAAGTGTCTTCTTTTTTATGTCGAGTTAGACTAGTATTGAAAGCAGGTAGCTTATTGGTCCATGGAGGATTATTGGAAGTACTGATGGGGGTAGTTATATTCAGGTCTATAGCTGCTAGCAAAGGATTTACTAATTGTGGTAGGGGGTAAATTCATCTGTCTCTATTTTCAGGAGCGTGGTGGGTGTTAACGAGCTTAAATACTGGGTTTTTTGAGTTAGCTGAAACTCTAGTGAAATAGGAAGAGAGTAAAAGCTGACGTCGTATGAAAAGAGGAGGTTCCAAAGATTCAATGCACATGCTTTCGGCGGGGCTAGATCGAAATGCACCTAGCCATATACGTAAGGAGGTCGTTTGTATTGAATTTAGGGATTTAAGATAAGTTTTACAGGCGGTCATGTAAAGCATGCATCCATAATCTAATCTAGAGCGAATAAGAGCTCTATAGATTCTCAGTAACATATTTTCTTCAGCTCCCCATTGATGATGAGCAAGTGTTTTCAATATGTTTAGTTTACCAGCACAGTTGTCCTGCAACAAGAACACCAGCCTTCATTGAACAGAGTAGTAATCAGAGCAATACAAGCAGATATTTTTTGTTTCTTTGCGTTAGTTTTAACCTGTTTGTTCTTTTTTTCTTTCCTTTTTCGTTGGGTTTCAATTTTTCTGGGTTTATTTTCATCATTTTTGTTTAATTTTTTTCTCTTTAGCTTCCTTTATAGCTTGTATCTTTTTTAAAGATTCTTCCAGTTCAACCTTATAAGAAGAGGCGGTAAGGACAGCAGTCTTTCACGCTTTTTTACAGCTCTTTTTGTGCCGGATTTAACTTTTGGCAACGGAATTAGGTCTCTTGGCTACGTGACTGAAAAGTACGTACAGGTGAATCGGGCATCCAAGAACATCTGGGTTTAGGGACATTCACTGGTGGGGGAAGATTTTCGTCAATTGTCGGTATCGATTGATTATTTTTGACAGGATTATCAACTACGGGTGTGGGATGAACATGGGGTGAGGAGAAATGCTTCTGTACTGGTGTAGTTGGTGTTGAGTAAGTTATCTCTAGCATAGCCGGCGATATTTCCTGGATTGTACTGCCAACAGGATTTTTCAAGGAAATATCTGTTGTTGCTGATGGTAGGAAGTCATCATCGGTCAATTTATTCATATTGGATGGCCAGATATTAGATTTTTCAAAGCCATTAGTGGCAGTTCTCATATTTTCTGCACTTAAAAAAGCCTGGCCGAAAAGTGTTGATATGTTGAAAAGCTGAACCACTCTCCCTGGATGCGACCTGAGCCACTTCCTTATTTCATCCTCATACTACAAGCTCAAGGGCTTCATTATTGCAACGTCCAATGGTTGAATTTTGTGAGAGCAATGAGGAGGGAAGGACAATATTAACACACCATTGTCACATGCTAGATCTATTGCGGCCAAGTTCTTTGTGTGTCACGTATGCCCGTCAAGACGTAACATAACTAAGCGTTCTTTCGTCGCTTTAGAAAACAGAATGAACCGTTGTATCAATTTTACGAAAATCTCTGCAGTTATCCAACCAGAGTCGCTAACTTCAGCCCAGCCTCCTGGTGGGAGATCTGTTTCAAATTCACGTTGTTTCTTTTTTTTATAGTCATGCCAAACAGTTGTTTTTGCATATTTTTCAGATAAACGACAAGCTCAAGCTTTTGCTCAATAATAAAAACAGTTTTATACTTTCCTGAAGTTTTATCAATGACAACGTCTGGATTCTTCTGTCTTTTCTGAACATATCGCTCCAGCGTTGATGATAGGACACCAAACCGCCACATATACACATTTGTCCACTCATAACCGCATCTAAATCTAATTTTAGAAAATAGTATACAAAAGAATGCAGTCTTAATAATTATGGATTATAAAGTAAAAACAAATTATCAACAAAATGCATAGCCGAACACAACTATACCGACATTCCGCAAAAGCCGCATGTAGGTATGATTTTCTTACCCTGAGGTGTAGGTACTTGAGTGGTTATAGTAACTTTCAAAAAATATATACACAGTTTCTATACATGTATAATATTTTATTTGCTCAATAATAGTCAAGTTACATCCTATAATAGTTTATTATAAAAATTATTATACTTACCATCAATCGCAACAAAGGTAAAATAAACACTGGAATAAAATTTAATCAACAAACTAAATAATATACAATAAATATACAAATAATTAGTAAGATTCTATTCAGTGTCGCCGAAGGCGTTCAAAATCTCATCCACCATTTTCAGATGGAAAAATTTAGTCTCTCACGAGTGGATAAAACGGAAATTTCAATCTCTGCAACTGAAATACTTTTTGTATTTCATGTCATATTCTTTCGAGAACTTCATTTCTTGTTGTGGGTCTGTTAACATAAAACTTTTATTCGCCCTCACAAATAAAAATCTAAACCCCGAAAAGGTCCTGGAGACCTTTCACTTTCATTTTTTGTTTATTTCATACACATTTATTACTATAGAGGTGCAATCATTTGACAATTATTGAGCAATTTCAATAATATTTTCTCTAAATTTGTGATACTCAATATATATTTTGAAGTTTGCAGATATCTAGGTATTGTTTGACAAAGGGTATCGAATTTCGATTAAGTATTAGTAATTTTGTAAACATTGAACATCGAACTTTATCTGTACTTCAGATATCTTTATTGTGTTTATTTTTAGTGTAACATGATAATTGCATATAAACGCACATATTTTTCTTGAGGCGTCGGATTATTTTATCATGTTAGGATGCTCTTTTTAAAAATTTTTGTGTAAAAACTCTTTCTTGTTTTATGTTTATAATCCTTAGTTAAAATTGCATCCTTCGATTGTATATTTTTTGCAGAGAAAATACATTTCTTAAGAACAAAAAATAGCTCCCTCTAGCGTTAAAAAATTGGTCAATTAGAACCGGATTTACCGGTAAAAAAACTAGGGTTCCACTCTCATTCTATTCCATAACAGTCATTATGTAATCCGTTGCCTGGTATTGTGTCAATTCCTGGGGATTTATTTCTCTTTAGCGATTTAATTGCCTTTTTTACTTCAGGGATTAAGACAGTAGATTCTCTAGGCTAATCTGACGGCCATAGATTTTCTGCTGGAGTCTTGTTTATTAAAACTTATAAATGAAATAAACTAGTTGATCATTTTCTGGCACATCTACCACATCCCATACATCTTTGTTAGGGAAAGATTGAATTTCATCCGTAATGGCTTCTCCTCACTTTTTCAGTTTCAACATTATCTTTGTTTTGCTCCCCCACTGAATCTAAAATTTCTTCTGCCTCATGTCCATCTTTTAAATCAAAATGAATCACTTCAAACTTTTTTGTGTTTTCCATAATTTTTACATCTCTAATTAATTATTACATCCTGTATCCTTTTGTCTTACAGCATTATCATCATCATCATCATTAGCCATTTTGCGTCCACTGCTGAACATAGGCCTCCCGTAAATAATTCCATTGCATCCGATCTTGAGCAACTTGAATCCAGTTAGACTGGATGCGCTTTAAATCGTCCGACCACCTTGTTGGAGGACGTCCTCGACTACGATAAGCATCGTGTCTAGGCCTCCACTCTAAAATTTTCTTTGTCCATCTTCCATCTCTGACCCTAGCAACATGTCCTGCCAGTTCCATTTCAGGGTTTGTAATTCTTTCAACTGCGTCCGTCACACCAGTTTTTTCTCCTTACTATCTGACTCGAAACTCTGTCCCTGAGTGATACGCCCAACATTGACCTCTCCATCGCTCTCTGTGCCACTTGTATCTTATTAATTACTTTTCTGGTAAGTGTCAATGTTTCTGCTCCATATGTCAGAACTGGAAGTACACACTGATTAAAAACTTTTCTCTTCAAGCACATGGGAATAGCTGATTTAAAGACTTCCCTCAGTTTTCCGTAAGCTGCCATGCCAGGGGCATGGCTTTACAGCATACACTACTATAATGTGCAAAATAGCCTTTTTCTCCCACTTTGACCTTTTTTCTTTTGGAACGTTTACCACCACATTGCTGCCAAATATCCGAAGGCCACTAACATCAGGTTTATTATCTGTTCACATTTCAAAAGGTGTTTTGTTTAAACCAGAAGATCTATTTTTTAAATAAACAACTATGGTTTACAGCTTCAGCCCAAAAAATTCTTAAGATTGGCATCAAACAAAAGACGCATTGCCTTTTCTACAATTCAATATGTCTCCGGCTTCTATACAATATGTAGCTTCTCCATATAAATTTTAAAGTGTTTGTTTGTATTGTATTTTGTATTGTTATGTCCAAATTTTACATTTATGACATTCTACTATGTCGGATAGGCCACAATTGACGAAATGCCCCTGAAGATGATCTATTGATCGAAAGTACTTGGGCAAGATTAAATTAATCACCGTGTTCGATAGTTGCCTTGTATACCCTCAAAGTTTTCTACAATTATCCGATTCAAAAGTTCAGATACTCCATTTTTTTCAGGAGTGTAGGGATTGGTTTTTTGATATATAATACCATTTACACTTAATTTTTTAACAAAATTCTCCACCATTGTCATTTTGCAGAGTTTTTATATGAACACCCTTCTGATTTTTAACCATATTTTCAAAAATTTTAAAACAACTAAAAACCTTTTTTTTTAATAAAATAAATGAAGACTGTTTTACTAAAATCGTCTTAGAAAGTAAAAAAATATTTGGTGCCACCTAATGATCTCTTCTTCTATTTTATTTCTTTGCCATGACATTCGCCATTGACAAATAAATAATTTTCAAAATTGTTCATGTACACATCATTTATCAAGTCAGCCTTTGGGATTAGTTCAGCATTTTTGTTCTTGAACATTAAGTTCTGGAACACAAAAGATCATTTTGTTAGTAGTTAAATCCAAATAACCTCAACACATTACTTTGGCTGTATTCTTGTTAGCAACTATAATGTCACCTGTATCACCATACTCTTTTGTTATTAATGCAGTCTTCATTTGTAGTTAAATAATTCAAGCGATTCATTGGCCTTCTTAAATTGCCATTTTTAATGGCTCTATATAACAAATAGACAATTTTATCACTATGATCTTATTTGTTTCAGATGCTGAACGATTAGATGACAGAGCCATCAATTTGAATACTAAACGACAAGATGTCGACCACGTATTTTTGAGATTCGGCAAAAGATTTGGATTGTAAAAAGCTAACTAGATTTTTAAAAGTACAGCCCTTCTTTTAAACCTTCGAAAATGTTCTTTTGCGGCTTTAAAATTACTTTTTGTTTCAGGTAAAATATCGAGAAGGCAACCTTTGTTTGTAAAACTATATTTATAATTATATTAATTAAATGATATTATCGTTATAAATCAATTAAATTTTATTTCTACCTACATGTAATTTATTTAAAGGCGTAAAAATTAAAATATGGTACAGTTGGAAAATTTAGTAGTTGTTTTGTTTGTTTTTACCACAATATAATTAGTTGAACGAAGGGTATTGAATGAGTACTTCACATTATGTTTTTTTATTTTAGGTTAACATCAGAAAAAACCTCATTTGAAGAGATATTAGCACTTTAAATTACTACGTTAGTACGGTATTAACCGACTCATTCGGGTAACTCCGCACACGGAATCAGCTAATTTCGTACATACATTAATATCTTTTCATTATTGTATTAACCATCATAAAAACACTTCAACTTCAAAATCATTTCAAACTACTTCTCGCTGTCTAAATGTATTTCATTTTCTTCTACAATATCTAACAAATCAACATCATTACTACTTTCTGATATAAAATCAAAATTGTTATTTTCCTTGTGTTTTAAAAAGCTTAGTGTGGGCCTAATTCGTGTAGCTTTCGGTATGGCCTTTCTTTTCATATATTTTTTTTTTTCAATTTCTTTAATTTTTTCTTTCTTCTCTTTCTTTCTTTCACAGTTAGTGACCAGAGTTTTACGTTTCTTCCATGAATTATGTGGTCTTTTATCTTTTTCATCAATTCAAGAATTCCTCAAATGATTTACGTGTTTGTGAAGTAGGTCCAATTGGAGAGACAGGACTTTCTTTTTCTACTTGAAATTCGTTTGCAGAGCTAGCTTCTGTTCTTTCAACCACTGCAAAGGTAGAGACAGGGATTTCTGGCTGTTCTGTTATGTTTAAAGCGTTCGAAACATCTGATTTTACCGTATCTGAAGAAGTATGGGATACGGTTGCCATATATTTGCATAATTGTAGTCTTTCTGATTTTCAGCGGCTATAACAGGGCTCATCAATCAGTGTATTTTATCAGTGTATTTTGCCAGTGATGACGTACGGCACAGAAACCCTAATACTCACAAGAATAACAGTGAGTAAACTACAAGTTGCAGAAAGGGCAATGGAGAGAATAATGTTAGGGGTTTCTCTACGTGATAGAATACTCAATGCTACTATACGCAAAAGATCAGGAGTAGCAGATGTTATTGAAAGGATAACAACACTAAAGTGGAACTGGGCAGGTCATGTAGCAAGATCAGTTGATGACTGGTTGACATATGCGTAGATCGGCGGGTGAACCTGCGGGGTATGCGAGAGGCCTATGTTCAGCAGTGAACGTTAGAGGCTAGTTGATGATGATGATAACAGGACTTTAATCTGGTTGTATTGCTACTGAATATGTAGACATACTGGTTTTTGATTGTACTGTGGCTGAGGAAGACTGACACATCTAATGGTTGTAAAAAATGTATCGTGTATGGAGTGTACTTCATTATAATAATTTCATTTTTTGTGCTAACTTAATGAAATCTGTGGACACATGGGTAGCATGACCATCATATAATCATAAAACTGCTCTCTCCTTTGTAATATTCGGCAAAAAAACATCTCTAAACCAATTAAAAAACGAAGTAGTTTCCATCCAACCTCGAGACGTTGTAGAAACTGCATTTTAGAATGCTGTACTATCATTTCTCCATTACATATTTACCTTTAAATACATAGAAGAGAGGTATCCTTTGACCATAAGCAGAACAACTCAACAAAACAGTCCAGTCCCACGCCTTCCTTTGACGCGATGCTTCAGTGTAGATCGTCGAATATTGTAAAAAAATAATGCACCCCATGTCGTCTTGATACCATTTCTAATATCCTCAATTGCCCTATCAAGGTCTTTCGTGGCATATAAGAAGCCAACACCTTTCTGAGTTTTTCTTATGTACGTTCGTACCATTTTCTGCAACAAAAACAATCTGATATAACCTAGGTTTTGAAAAATTAAAGGATGGAAAACATTTTTAGATCCTGAGGTCCTGAAGATTCCTTCCTATACCGGAGTAACTGTCCCAAGGTCCTGTCCCAGTAACTCTCGATCTGAATGAGCATGAAACACTTATTTAAACATTATTAATAGTACATTAACCAACATTTTTACAGTAAAAACCATGGTAAAAACACCTACCTTAATTGTCAAAACAATAATGTAAGTCACAATCACGCCATGTTGATTTCAGAAAATATAGCTGCAAATTGAATTGATCTTCTCACAACAACCAAAAGTACTAGACAGTTCAGAGCTAATGTAATGGAGGAAAGGCACCTTCTTGCAGTATATCCAACAGCAAAAAACTTGAATACTGTTACGGTTTAAGATTGAAAAAGATATGGCCCAGATATCCCCTGGGTCCAGTTGCTCCCCATCACCCTATGTTAAAAAGTTAAATAGTTCTTATTTTTTAAGAAGTCACATCATGTCAAACTACAAACAGATCACTACACGTTCTATATAATATTGAAACTACTACTGAAACTGTTAAGTAGCATTTCCACAAGAAAAAAATAATGTTTTGAAGATTTATTTTACTTACCGATAGATATAACACATTTCGATACACATTTCGTTTGGTTAACTTATTCAAATATAAATCGAGAGGTTATTCTTTTGTTGCAATCACTTTTATGTTAAGTAATTAAATGAATGTAATTTAAATGAAGTTTTTGATATATCCAATTTTAAAGTTAACCCAAAAGATGTTCTCATCGCAGCTATAGACTGGCCACTTCAACATTAATTAATTGCCGGTTGTTTTCGTCGCGAAATTAAGGAGGGGGAGGACGCGAAATTCAGTCAAGAGTCCATTTAAATTTTAAATTAGACGACATAAATGACTAACGTAAAATGTATTTACATCTATATGGAGTGTTAAAAATAGTTTAAATTATAACTGCTTGTACATATTACACTTATTGTTCCATGTAGTATTATTATTATTAAACGAATTTTTAAATAAATTCTCTTCATATTTTTTATTAAAGGGAAAATTTATCAACTGAAAAGAGTTTGCTTTTCAGGCTTTCTTTATGTTTTCCTTTCCTAGCATTGCGTTGAAATAACTTATTAAAATTAATGTCATTCTTGGATATATTTTCATATATCTCTTCAAGTTTCACGTCATAATCATCATCAGTAGCTCGACAACCCTTTCTGGGTCCTGGCTTGTTCTAGGATTTTCTCCCATTCTGTTCTGTTCCTTGCTTTGTTTTTCCGGTTGGTAATCTTAACTGTTTTCAGATCTTGTTCCACTTGTTCCATGTTTCTAAGTTTGGGTCTTCCCTTTGACCTTCTCCCTACTGGTGTTTAGCTCATTATATGTTTTGGTGTTTCAGTTTCCAACATCCGTTTAACATGGCCCATCCCGCGCAGACGTCCGATCTTTATGGATGTTATAACCTCGGGTTCATTGTATGCTATGTATAGCTCAAAGTTATATCTTCTGCGCCATATGTTATTTTCCTTCACCCCTTATGTATATGTGTCTAAGGATTTTTCGTTCAAACGTACCTAAGAGGTTCTCATTGCTTTTCGACAGTGTCCATGTCTCTGATCCATATACAAGGACTGGTTTTATCAGGGTCTTTTATATTTTGCATTTGGTTTTTCTTGTTGGTAGATCTTAAATGTTTAATTAGTCCATTAAGGTACCCCGGGGCAAGTGGAAATATGGAGGAAGTGGAAACCATGTGATTAAAAAAATCATAATCCAGTCCTGTGACTGCCATCTCCCTAAAAACGATCTACACTAGGTTAATATTACCACTGACGCTCAGAGTCAGTCATAATTCTGTCGTTAAGCCAAACTATTCAAGTGTTTATCTACCAAGCCGGTATCGATTTAACCATCGAATTGTAATTGTTATCTTTAAGCCAACGGTTTTGATTCAAGGAATTCGAATTAACAGTGATTTTCATTAGGTAAGGAATTAAATTATATTGTATTTTATTTATATGTAGGTTAAAACTAACTTGTGTAGATAATTTTTGTAAAAATAGATAGGTTCCACTTGCCCCATTGTTTTTTATGCTTGGGGCAAGTGGAACCCACAACATTGGGGAAAGTGGACACTAGTGTCCACTTTCCCCAAGCATTTATTTAAAACAGTTTAATCTAACTTATTTTTTTTTTCTTTGCAGTAACAATGGTTCGTAATTATGTCAAAAAGAAACCACCGTCAACATATTCTCAAGAAACCTTAAGAGAAGCAGTAGAAGCTGTAAAATCTAAGCAAATGACACTCTACAGAGCATCAAAACATTACTCCATTCCAAAAGCAACATTATTTAAAAGAGTCAAGGGATTAAGGGGTGAAAAAAGTACTACTATGGGTAGGCCAACAGCTTTACCTTTAGATATTGAGACCAAAATTGCTGACCGTATTAAGACCATGGAAAAATTGGGTTTTGGTCTTTCAAAAAAAGAAATTTTGTTAGCTATTGGACAATATGTGTCAGAAAATAACATAAAAACTCCATTTAAAGATTCAATACCGGGAGATGATTATTTTTTAAGTTTCAAGCGCCGATATGGACTTTCTCAAAAGAAGCCACAATTAGTTGAAGTGGCCCGTAAAAAAAGTATAGATCCATTTGTAATTGCAGAGTACTTTGACTTGGTGAAAGAACTCACTTCGAATATACCCCCTGAGAAGATTTATAATCTAGATGAAACCAGTTTCTGTCTAGATCCTAGTCGTGTAAAAGTAGTAGGTGAAGAAGGAAAAGCCGCTCATCCAGTTACAGCTGGTCCTGGCAAAGAAAACTTTTCTGTCTTAATGGGTGGCAATGCTACAGGAGAAAAATTACCACCCCTTATTATTTTCAAAGGAAAAAATCTTTGGGATACATGGCTAGCAAAAAAAGATGACGAGTATCCAGGAATTACATACGGAGCAACAATAAACGGATAGATGGAAACGGAAACATTTTCTAATTATATTGAACATACGTTCCTTCCGAATATTCCTAAAGAGAGACCCGTTGTTCTGA